CTGACTTTTCCACCCCTCCACCCTGGTCAAGTTCACTCATATATATTATAATCATTATATATAGGTAAGAACTACCAGTCTCATCCCCCCAGAAAAAAATTTACAAAGTTATAAATCTTGGTACGTAGGTACCGAGAAAGAAAATTTTCATTTTATACTATGGATTTTTAATGTTTCTATTATAAAAAATAATATATACAATATTGATTGTATAAAAACTTGAATTTAACTTTTGGTTATTTTTGTTGCGTCGTCGCCGTCCAACGACGATAACGAATCCGACGACGGCAACAACGCCGGTAATTGCTAATTTATAATTTCAAATTTAATTTACAAATATTGTTCTTTGATGTAACGTGTAAAATGAAAATATTAAAATGATCTAATTTTTATTTGATGCATTACTCAAATTTTTATACTTCCAAGTATACAATGCTTGTATACACTAGGTATACATAATATCAGTGGCGTAACTGGGAAAAAATCTAGGGGGGCAATATAATATATTTATTATTACCAAAACCCTGACACCCCTCCCCATCATCAGTTAAAACATATTTTTATTGTATGTATTTTATACAGTTTATCTAATTATTTGATTTTACATAAGTCTTTTAACTCATTTTGTCGTTTAGATTAACATAAATTGTAGGTAGCAAGTACTAGGTACCAATATTATTAAATAATACCTATATGAGTTCATTGATAAAAGGTGTTATTTGTACTGTTGGATTATCTGGGAGAGGAGGGTAAAATTATACCTTTATCCCTCAAAAAATTGTCAGGGGGCACTTGCCCCCCCATAATTACGCGACTGCATAATATTAATGTGTTTTATATATTATTCTAAATAGATCACAATTATGATTTCTAAAAAGCAACCCAATATTCAGTCTTTTTTGAAACCTCAAAAATTTGATAATATACAAAATAACACAGGTTCAGTAGTTTCAGGATTAGATATTGGTATCCCTACGTCATCTACGTCCTATATAAATAGACACGATATTTTCAATTATGTCAAAAGAGTATTGACTCAAAATGAAATACATGATATATAGTGAAATATAAATAATATAATTATTACATCATAACTCGTGTGTGTTTTTTTATATTATAAGCTTTAGGTACTTAATATTTAGACCTCCCCCCATAAAAAATTTGAAAATACGCCACTGAGAATTACCTATATATAATGTATAAATGACATTGGCGTAACTAGTCTTTTAAGTATGGGGGGATCGCTAGATTCCAAAAAAATGTTTGGTAGGAACATTTTTTTAATGGCTTGAATAATTATTCGTTTATATGAAACAATAATTTTTTTTATAGTGTAGGCAAAAATAAAGTTAATACTAATTTATAAGTATTATATTTATTATTTATTTACTAGTTTATAAGCACATACATTTACCCGAAAATTCGGGGAGGGGGGGGGGGTCGTAGCCCGCCACTAGTTACGCCTACGATGAATGGTAGTTGAATAAAATTACACTAAAATGTATATAATTTTTAAATTTAAAAACAGGCTATCAAAGGAAACATTTGGTTCAATGGATGCTTTATCGCAAATCTTATAATTGGTGTTTTACTCAGTGAAAAGGCCATACGCTCTTACCTTATTTCCTGTAAAGAACATTGTAAAACCAACCATTCCACTGTAACACGTTTTCTAAATGATAGCCTAAAATATTATGGCCCACTGGAGGCAAATTTTAAGTGATATTGCACCATATATAGTCAAGTTAGGTGATATTATTTTGGTAAATAATATCAAAAAAATATTTTTGAAAGCTCTGTAGTGAAAAGTTGAATAGGGCAACTAGATTATTTAAATTAAATAACACAACGATGATAGAATTATAATATAATATTTTAATAATTTATTCACAAGAAAAGTTAGTTCTTACAAGTAGGAACAAAATGAAAATTTTGGCCCGAGTAATATATCGGTTCTCCTTATATACTAATATTTATTAAGTAATCAGCACAATTCATATTATTAGATTAATTGCGTAATATGATTTATCTATAACAAAGGTTATTTCAACTATTATAAAATCCTTAACATTATATATATCACGTGATACTACATTCCTCCCACCATAGGTGAATTATTATATTTTGAAAATGTGATAACTTGCTTAGAAAAACATAGGATTACTGATATATGTTTAGCTGTATTTTTTTTTTTTACATACATTTCCTTACTAAGTTACGAGGTCCTATTGTAATCGATAATATATTAAAAATAGATTTTGTATATATTACATCCATAACAGCATCATGTGCATAACTTACTTCATGTTGTTTATTACAAACCAAATTGTGGGTCTCCTCCAAATTCAATTGTCTGCTATTATTATTTTTATTTACCTCCCCTATAAATTCTTTATAAATGATTTCATCTTTTTCCATATTTATTATTTTTGTTATATTTATTATCTAAATTGTCTAAATATGTCGTTATATTCAAAAACGTGTGTATGTTTTTATTTTTAAAATGTCTATTATTTTTTTTTATCAGTTATGCCATTCCACATAACTATTATGGGTGTTTTCCATTTTATATTTTTATAGTCCATTATACTTATTGTACTTAATATATTAATCTTAGCTGTTAATGAAAACTCCAATTGTTTTTACAATGGTATGAATGTTTTAGGTTTTATTAAATATTTCAAATTATTAATATCATTTTTATAAGTTACAGTTAATTTATTATTCGATAATTTCAATGGTCTACCTTCTCATTTTAATGTTTTAAAATTTAAACTATTACATATTGATCCTAATATAAGTATCATATCATCTTTAGTTGTCATAAATTCAAAATCTACTATAACGAATTTGAATTCCTCCCTATAAATAATAAATCACGTTTTAATTCAAATTCTCTGTTATAGGATAATTGTCTGTATTTGTGGGTAAATTATGTAATTGTTGTCCCCTACTGATCTTGATGTTTCAGTCTTTCTTTCTTCTAACGTAATGTCTTCTTGTATTTTATTTATAAGTCTTTTTATTAATTTGTGTGTTAATATACCTATTAGTGTTATTATTACAATATAAATGATGTAGTGATGTATTGATATGTGAAAGTTTATATTATTTTTTTCTGTACCATCTAAATCACTTTCTTATAATTCTTTATATGTTTTTGAATTTATATCTAAATCTTGTAGTTTAATTATATTTTTACCCTTTTCAATTTTTAATTTGCATTTGATTTGAAATTTTAGTTTGAGGTATAAAATCTGTTTTTATTGTTGTATTTACTTTAGTTGCTTCTAATATAAAAAGTATTTGTATGAGCTCTGCATGAATTCCCTAGACTTAATAACCTGTTCCTGTAATTGTCATTTGATGTGTGTTTGTATATGGTTTACATGTTATTATTATTGATTCTTCTTGAACTATATATAACTATTTATTTTCTGTATGAAGTTTATGATAAGTATTCTTATTAAATTATAATATTTTTATATTACAGTTGTCAATGTTTACCTCATTATTAAAGAAAAGTTCTACTTCAAAATTTGTTTTACCGTCTTTTAAATTAAGTTTTCTATAGGATTGCATAAATAATTTTTATTGATTATTTTACATTCATCTAATTACTCTTTTGTATATACGTAATATTCTTTATGCGTATTTATTGCTAAGAATTGATATTGTGGTTTAATGTTAAAGTAATTGCTATTATTATATAATTTTGTTGGACATTGAATTACATATATTAGATAATTATTTTTATAAAGGATTGTTACTTTTGATAGTTTTAATAATACGTCTATATTATTTTCGTTTATTTCTAATGAAAATTGAGTTTGTTTAGGTAGTGTTACAGCTTCTTCAAGAGTGGAAGTTTATAGAGAAGTAATGCAAGATTTACCATTACCTCCAGAACCAATTTTAACGAGGTGGAATATTTTGCTTGAAGCTGTTGTTTTTAATGCGTCACATTTTGGTGGTTTAAATCTGTTATAACAAGACTGTTAGCATTGAAAAATTTCAGATATAATAAAAATATAATTAGTTAAAAATCATTTTCATAAAATTTAATTTTGAAATTCTTGTTACATGCATAAAAAATTGGATCAAAATAAACTTTAAAAGAATCATTGGATAGTGTACAAACATGTTCAACGCAACTAAAAAACATCCCAGGAGATAAAGGCCATCAAATTTGTTTGAAAATCAAAGATGTCTTACAAAAAAAATCAAGGATATCAAATTTTATTAAGTATACAAAAAATGCTATCTGAAGATGAAGATGGACAGTTACCAAAAAATTATTCACTAAATATGACTACAAATAAGAAATTTTCAACATGAACAACTGTAAATTTTGAAAAATCTTTAGGTTTGTATAAGCATATTTTAAGTGATAGCAGAACTCACATGAATCCTGAACAATACATTGTAATTAATTGTTTCATGCATGATACATAAATTACATAATTGCATATTTTTAATTTTTTTTATTTTCATATATTTAAGAAAAACCATAGTGGTTAATTAAGTTCCTAATTTATTTAAACAAAAGATTGTTATTTCATTTTTTTATTTTGATTTATGTTATTTTGTTTATAAATTGAACAAAAGGTTAAAAAATATAATGTTACTATTTTATTAGTTTTATTAATTATTACTTATATTTATTCATTTTTATGTTAAAATAAATAAATTGATTTAAAAAACATATTTTTTCATATTTTACTAATATTTTTAAAGAATATTACAAGCATACGTTCAAATTTTTAAGAAAATATTAATTCACGTTTTACCTATGACTAATAGGTAATTAATAAAAAAAAAAAAGTAGGTAAAAATGATTTTATGGTGAAACCATAAGAAACCAAAGAAATCGAAAAACTCATTTTATCAACGATTCAATTATTGGAGATAATACTTGTTCCATTAGGAGGGTAGTATACATCCAATCCATTTTCAGCAAATTTAGTTGACCCAAACTACCAAGGACAGAACTGAAAAGATAGCTAAGATGTTGAAGATATATTGAATTTAAAAAAAAGTAGCAAAAAGTTGTTCTTAACCATTGTTTCTTTTGCAAGGTGATTATTTAGATCTTTATCCAAGTATGTATTTTCAATCAGTGATTCACTTGACTAATTATCTCCAATCAGATTACTTTTATTACTTGAAATATTGTTCATTGATTCTTCTAAATAACTTATTTGATCCAAAGTGTTAACAGTTTTTTTAATAATAATTTACTACTTTCAATTTCATTTTTAAAATCATTTGTACCCAGTTTCAGATTCTTTAACATGTAGTTGAGAATTGTAGACCCCAACTTGTCCTTTGAGGTATATTTTCAATCACATTTTTAAATTAATTTGTATTTTAATTTTTCTCATTTTCAGCTGAACTTTTGTCTAAGTCTGTTTCTTTACCACCTTCAATTGTATTTGTATCAAAATATTTGTTATCTTCATCTTTTCTTTCATTTTCAATTGTATTAGTATCCAATTTATTTTTATCCCTATCTTCATTTGCATTTTCAGCTTCATCTAAATCCCATTCCTTGTGGAGTTCATCTGCTAATTTAATATTTTTTGTACACAATTTTTTGGGTCTTACATTATTTTGTTTAGTTGATGTTGGTGTTGACAACTGAGTATTAATATTCAAACTATTGCTGCTTGTTGCAGATTGCTTCATAAGTTCAGCCTTAGCTTTATGGTCAGCAATATGTCGTTTTAAATTGTCAAAACGATTAGTACTGAATGTGCAACTTTTTGGATCACCAAAATAACAAAAATATGATTTAGTAGCAGAGGTATAACTTGTAGTAGGAACAGGTTTAGGTTTAGCTTTTGGCTTTAAAAGCATCATTTTATTAGATAAAGGAGCAGATATTTTTGATGCTAGTAATGATGATCTACCTCTAACTGTACCCGATTTTCTAGCTTTTATTTTTCTTGATTTTTCTGTAGTAAAAAGTTCATTTATGTTTATTTTAAGAGGTTTCTTATCCTCATTTTCTTCAAATTGTTCACAAATATTTTCATCTCCACCAATTTCCATTTCAAAACTTTTTACGTCAGCAACAAAATGTGTCATATTAAAGTACAATTTTTCTTTGTTACTTTTTAATTGTTTTTATATAACACTGCAAAATAAATATAAATAATGTAAAATAGAGTTAATATAATATTAAAAAGTTCAAAAATAAATACTCACAATATCCATTTTTGAGAAATTCAAGTTTTCTGTTGGAGTTATAAATAGCAATAAAACACCTTCACTGTAAAAACAAAAAAATAATTTATATCTTATTTTTTTATTGGTATGATAACATGCATTTTTTAATTAAAATTAATACTTATTACAATGACGTTTCTCTTAAAAAATCAACTACACAGATTAACTTTTTCTTCTTAATGAATTCTTGATACGATTTGGGAATATTTGATTTATCAACTACAGTACCCGACCATCAAACATGATTTAGTAACAAGACCCAGACCCTATCGCCTAAATTTTAAGGGTGTGTATGGTCACACATTATTATTGACTATTTATCCTATAAAAAGATAATAAATTAAGAATTATAGATTTATTTGGAGATCAATATACTTAAATAGGGTAATATGATTGATAAAACTGACATATTTATAACTATTTTAATATAAAGGATTATCTTATTATTAACTTTTATTTTATTTTTATAATTTTATTAGTTTTTTCAAGTTGGAAATGCTAGTGATATTACCAACAAAGAAAAATTATTTTAGGTTAACAATAATCCTTTAATGTATAAATTATCTAATTGTATTGTAGATAACAGATTATAATATTATTAATTTTATCATAAAAAAAGCTTGGTAAAATAAATATAATTACATACTCCATTCCCAGTTTTACCAAAAGAAAATAGATTTTTTATTTCTATCAAAAATATTTCTGTGAGTAAAAATGCAGAAATTTACCATTTTAAATATTTTATTAAAACTTTTCTATTTTAATACTTATGCCACATTAGGATAATTAAATGTACCAAGTTATAGGACATATAATTGCTTAAAATTGGAGAACTAACTCTGAACAATAGTTGAGCCATTATTAGTACAAGGTATGAAGTATTGAGTATATAGTTAATTCTAAGTTTATGTTAATACCTGTTATTAATTGATACTTAGAAAACCAATATTATACTGTCTCTATGAATGTATCAAAATTATATAAAAGATGGTCAATCCTTCACAATACATGTAGTGTAGGGCTAGTGTTTTCCATGTATGGGATTAGATAAAAACTAAAATACAACTATTACATTTTGCAAACATTTGAAATTAAATGAAATTACCTCCAGCGATTGCCAGGTATCCAAGTGGACCAAATTAACACTGACTTCAACTATTATATATATTTAAAATCAGACATTATTTTTTTTTTTAGTTATTAATTTTTAGGTATTAATGTATTATAAATATTAAATTAGGTAAATTAAATATTACTAAATACTTAATCAAAAATATTATTTTCAATGTTTTTGTATAAAAATAATAAGTAGGTAGTTTAGGTAAACGGGAAATAAATAATTTGAAAATTTTTACTACATAGCAATTTGTATTTTATGGAAACCATTTTATTTATTTTAAAAGAAAACACATAACTGTTAGAAAAATTAATGCTTCTAAAACGTGGAAAATATTTTTTAAATATTAGTATTTATGGTTAATATTGATGCCTTATAAGTAAAAATATATCATTATCAATAATTAAAGAATGAGATATCAATATTTCAAAATAACGCAGTTGCTACACAAAATTAAAATTAAAAATACAACACACATAAAAGTTTGCTACAATATGTACGCATTTCTAAAGTTTATTAGGTATACTTGAACATTAGAGTTTTACCAAGGGTTAAAGCTGTGAACATTAATTTGATACGCAGCGTCTGTACAACCACCACTAAATGGTAAATTTACAATTCGTAATGAGGTGGAAATTAGTGAAAACTGCAAATTTGATGGACAAATACTTACAAACAAAAAAACGAAGTATGTTGATTCAGTCCCGAAACGACTTTATTACTACGTGCACTATGCTAAAAGATGACGTTAAAGCCAGTCTTAGTACAAACAACGGTTTTCAGCACGCCTCGTCTACCGCACTTATAATTGGAGGCATTCATAAACATAGAATCCGATTCCTAACCTCTGATACGCCGCGACGCCACCGCTTTAGATATCGATCGCTTGGTTCAGCATGTAACACAACATTACGCCCGTGACATATTGGTGACCATGTTTTTGTTCCTTCAACACGCGCCAACGATTTCAAACGATTTTAAAATAGTTAAACTTTCCTTTTTTTTTTTTTATCGTATAACATTTCTGGCAGTGGAGTACATACAGGGTGGGTTTCCGGGTTCAACCTCCCCCAGGGCCATAAAAAAAAAAGAAAATTGTTATATTATTGATGACGTGTAATATATTTGTAGTTTCATTATTACGCTTTGAACTTAAAATATACAACTATACACATATTATGATAATTAAATAATTATATTGATAGGTGTTTGAAAAGTTTTGTTAATTATGCTGTTTTTATATTCCAATAGCTATTAATTTACTGTAATGTAAAAGTAAACTGTAAATTGGTAAAAAAGTTGTATAAAATAATAACTGTTTTTAGCAGTTATTTCTCTTATTTATCTGTACAACGAAAAAAAAAAAAAGATAATGATTATTTTTGTTAACCCCCCTCCCCCCCGAGCAAGATCGAATGTACGCCACTGATTTCTAGTATACGGAAGTGAAGACATCCATTGTTCGAAATTGAGTCAAATTGAGTACTTAGATTTCATAACTGCATTTTTTTAACAATTTTATTGGATTCTACTGGTTTTAATATATTTAAAATTTTTTTTTTATTTCTTAATAATAATTCATGCAGTGAAGAGTTAAATGGAAAAATATGATAATAATAATTTGAGTTTTTGAGGTCTATTTTAATAGCACAGGTTTATCTCATCTGTGTTAATAGTGTGATGGACTTGGACATCAATGGTGTTCTAAAGAATTTTCAATGGGGAGTTTAATCTATGGCTGTAGATAATTAATATTTTAATAATATTAATAATAGTAGGTACTTAATAAAGTATTTTTAATAATAATATTATCTATGTTCGTGGTTTAATCAAAATTCAATGTCATGACCACAAATATTTAATACAATAAAGAAATAATAAAATTATGTGGATTATAATATTGTAAGATAATGAACAATACAATTTAGTTTATTTTTATAAATAAATATAATCAATATAATAAGAAAATAAAACATGAAACTATCATCAAAGCATTTTATGATTTTGCTTTAAGATATGAAATTGACATTAATTCTAATTTTACTCAACAAATAATATCTTTTAAATCAATTGTTAATCAAATTTAATTGCCTAATATTCTAGGTATGGTAAATTACATAATAGAAATGATTTTTCAATTAGCTTTCCAGATATTTTTTACTATATCTGAATCTGTTGCTTCACCTGAACGATCATTTTCTAAATAAAAATTGTCAAGAATTATTTAAGAAATACAACTTCTCAAGAATGGTTAAATATATTCAAATATTTGAATTTAAATTATAGAATGAGAGTAATAGAAGAACTAAGTATTGACCAAATAATTAACAATTTCATGAACAAAAAAGTAGGAAAAATATTTTTACTACATAACACTGGTATAAAGTATTAAAATTGCGTAACAAATCTAATATTTATAAAACTTATTTATAACTTAAAATAACATAATTTTAATAATTATTTCCTTTTTACAAAGCAAAATTAAAAGTAAAGATTATAATGATTAATATTTATTGATGTTTTTATACTAAATTATAATTTGGTAGAAAAACATAAAATATATTTATTTAAATAAAAATCATATGTTGTATTCATACCGTATTTATTAATAATGTGTATTTCAATTAAAAATATTTTTTTAAATTTAAATAAAATAAAATCTAATTGTTCATTAAGTTATAGAAAATGTATTTTGGGAACAAATGCAATTTAATTGCCAAGTTATTTTTAGCAATTTTATTTTTAAATTGTATATCTTTTTCATGTATTTGTATAATCAAATGATAGTTTAAAAAAATGTCAGCTAAATTTTTTTTAAGAATTTATGGTCAAATTATTATTATACATTTTTTTTTTTTTTAAAAAAAATTATTATAATTATTATATACTTTTATTTATTATAATTTTTTTATTTTTGTTTTTTGCCAAATTAGGTATATGTATAGGTAAAACATTTTATACTTGTTCAACACGTAAGTTATATATTTAAAACTAATCCACAAATCTATTTGCTGTGCAACGTAACGTGAGGGTACTTCAATTTGATAATTATCAATTGTACGTAAATGTATTACTTGTTTTGTTGCAGGAACCCAATACTTCCCTCCATTTCATCAAACCACACTTAATTCTATGTTTTACATCCATGCCAAAGCCCCCACCCTTTTGTACAAATGATCCTAAATATTTAAAGTCACCTACATTACCGTTTATTTTCATTGGTCTCCTCATACCCCCACTTCTTAGAATCTTCTTCCAAATTTCATATTTAGATATAAATTAAAAATAATTTTTAAGGGTAATATAATTGATGAAATGAGTATTGAAGTAATACTGGAGAGTAATGAAGTAAATACCAGAAAGTATGTATTTATTTACCAATTTATGATACTACTCTAATCTAGACTAATACTGGTGAAATCCATTGTTATTATTTGTGAATTTTCATAAATATAAAAATAAAATTATGGTAATTTTAAAACCAATAACATACACATCATAACTGTATTCAAAACAATAGACTATATTTGTATTTACAAAAAAAAAATAATAGTAATAATAATAAATATGTTCACTTATATACAAAAAAAAAAAAAAAAATGGTAAAATATCAGTAAATAAATATCAAATTAAATTAGTAAATTAATGCGATATTTTTCTTTTTAAGTAATTATTATAATTTAATTTAATTTTAATAATATATTACAATAAAATGTTAGTCCTTATGTATATTATTAATTACATTTATAGATTATTATAATATTTGGTTGTCCACATTTGTGGTTTAATATGTACATTTTTATAAATAATAAACTTTTTTAAGTTCTAAAACAACTAATAAAAATTAATAATCAATATTGATGTTCAGTAGTATTATTTATTTGAATTCCAAAACTTCGAGCAAAATTGTCTCCTATAAATAGAATATAAGCACATTAAAAAAATTACTGAAAATACTTAAGTTAATATTTCAATATATTAAATGACATTGTATGTGATAATTTATACAAAATTTTTACAAAAATATTTCAAATGTTTTGAGTTAGCTACAGTCACAGTTATTAAATAAAAGGTAAAATCTGTCTATTTTTATAGTTGTCAATTAATATTAAGGAACTGTTATGAATTTTAATATAAATTAAGAATTATAAGATAAATGGTTGTACCACTGTAGCAAAGTTATCACAGTTATGTAATTAATTTTAAACTTATTTATTAAGTAAACTGTAATAATTATAATTATAAGTTAATACATAAACCTCATAGATCCAAAGTCTATAATGGAATGAAACATGTTATGAAACTAATTTATAAAAAACTAAACTAGTTTATTTACTTAATTGGTATTTGGTAATGATATTAAAAGAATGTTATATAATTAATAATAAACATAGATGATTTTATTACTTATGCAAAAATCATTAACACGACTTTAGGTGATCATTAATTAAAATAATTAGGGAATTATTTAATTTTTGATAATAAATGCATATATTGTTATAATGTGAATACATAATATGCAGTAATCAATAAAGTATTAATAATTGAAAGCGGTTTGGTGATTTTGTTTTCATCAATTTTATTACTTTAAAATAAAAATCACTCTTAAGATATTATGTATAATATTATGTTTAATGTTACCATAATATCGGATTAGAGCCAATTGTTCTTGATGTCTACGTTCGTGGGCACACTCTTGATTTGCTGCAATTTTCAATAGAGTCTTTTCTTTTTGGGCAGCAATATCTTTTAAAGTTTTCACCAACAAAGTTTCCGGATTCATATTATGTTCTGTAGATATTATTTTAGGCATTATTTTAGGCTGCCTAACAATCTTTCTTAATGTATTTCCATCGTAAATGTGAGTGTTGAATTCAGTTTCACTGAAATCTGTTGAACGAAATATTTTAGTAGATATCCTAACTATTATAAATCCATAGTTGACTCACTATTAACTAGATGTGTATCACAATCTGGGCTATCATTGCTGTTTAAATTATTTTCTATAATTGTATTATTCATTGACAAATTATTATTTTTTATCTTATTTTGCTTAAAACTTTTTCTTCTGAATATTGTTTTATACCTAAAATCAAAATAATAATTAATTTATTGTTGATAAAGTTAATATTGTTAAAATATACCTGTTTAAACATTGTTCGGCCGTTCTTGTAATATTAAGAATATCACTAATTACAGTTGCTATGTGTTCAAACATTTTCAATTTAGTTCTAAATGTTCTTTCTAAACCAACTTTAGAAATGTTCTTTCGGTATAATTCCATAAGTAGCTTAGTATCATCAATTCCCCATTCACTTATTGATTTATTAGGGCATTGTCCTGAAAAATAAAAATATACTTAATGATATTAATAATTTACAAACATATTAAAACTGATAATCGCTACTTTTGATTAAAAAATAAATAAATGAATAAACAAATGTAATAAAAACTTATGAAATTATAAAATATAATTTACAAATAAAAAAGTTTAATTTTGGAATATCACCATTAATTCTAGAGTTCTGTCCATTATAATCATGATCGGCTGATACTGAAGCTGTTACATCACTTTGAGATCTTTCCTGACTTTCCTCTTCATTATTTCCTACATCGGATTTAGCTTTTTGTACTATTGTAGGACCAACTTTAAGTTGGTTCACTACAGTCTTGTATCTAAATAAACCTTATATTATTATAAATCTGATACAATAAAATTGTTAAAAATTACCGGTTTTCACATTGGTGAGCACTTCTGATGATATTTAACTTAGTAGATATTATTTGTGCAATATATTTGAACATTTCTCTTTTGCTTTTAAACTTTTTCATGGGCCCCACTTGAGTCACATTACGTCTATACATATCCATAAGAATTTTTGTTTCATATTGACTCCATTCTCGGCAATTTCTTTTACCTTAACAATATTATATCATATTATATAATGATTTATAATTAAATTTAAACAAGCTGTTTGAAGAATCAAATAAAATAAAAAGATTTAAGTAACTTTTTATTTGTATAGTAGTTTTTACTTTTAAATTGACTAGATAATAAATTGGATAGTGTAAATGTTATTCATTATTAAATGAACCGATAATTAATTATTAAATGCTAGGCATCAGAACAGTTTAATACTATTAGGTCAAAGTGTAGTTACAATTTGACATTATATAAATCTAGTTATCTGAACTATCTATACTACAATTATTATCTTTCCATATTACCGTAAAATTATGCCTATTGTAATTAATATTAAATAATTATAATATTGTGTTTTTCTTCAATAATTTAATACAAATACAAGTATTCAATTTTAAATTATTATTATTTATTTAATTAAATAACTTTTGAAAAATAGATATTTATTTCATAATTACATTTTTGTTACATATGATTATATTACAAAAACTATATATATATATGTTTAATGATCATCAAATTGAATTGAATTTTACAGAAAAATTTGAGTATAATTAATTCATATTTAAACATAACAGAATATTGAAACAAAATAATATTATTTATATATTTATAGTTTATTTTATGTTTTTGAATATATGATCCATCAAAAATTTTAATAATTTATCATTATTATCATAATAATATCTTACATTTGTATAATGCTCATGTTAATAAGTCATTAAGTTGTTGGTTTATAATTTCTACTTTTTCATTTAACGGATACTTTTATACCAAGGAAATATATATTAAATCAAAATTTACTTAAAGTGTGATGGTAAATATATTTTGTTTATATACATTTAACTATTAATTGCAAAAAATGCAAGGAATAAATAATAATTACGAGACTCTAGAAGAATATCATTTTCAAGTTGTATTGACTCATCTGGATTACTATTGTTGTCATATGTTTCGAAAGGTTCTTCAATAATAAATATATCTTTTGGGTCTGAAATTTGAAAGCACAATATATAATATAAAAATTACTTAAAAAAACAAACTATTTAACTCACCAATTTGGGTATCATTTTTCACAAGATTTCCATTACAGACATAATATGTATCCATAATGCGGTTTCATAGATATGAAAATTGTAAAGACAAACTCAAATTTAAGTAAATCTTGTAGCAAAAAATAGATAACAGGAATATTTTAGAAATTTTTAAAATTTCCAATAGTGTTATCAATAAATTGTGTTTATCACTTATCATAAATACAATTTAGTGATTATCATAGAGAAGTATATTACACTATGGTGATTATGAACAATTTTAAGTGAATACTTTTGAGGTTATATTTGAAAAACGTTGCGTTTTCTTATCAGCGGTTTAGATATCCTTGTAGAATTATTTTTATTTTTCACAAAAAATTTGTATTATTTAGAGTTTCTTTTTTTTTCAATTTTTATTTTTTCCTTTTTCTTTTTCCGTCCTAAGATCTATTCCTAAATTTATTCGCAATCATTGTTTTGACGTTATATTAATCATGAGTAAATTGCTGTTTATTCGAAACATTCGTGGCCTAGATGAACCTTCACTCAGACAAATTATTAACAGTAAGAACTTGCCGTGTGGTACTATAATGTTTAAATCAGGTGGAGCATGTGCTACTGTTGACTTTATGGAACCATCCACTGCCGAATATGCTTTGACACAGCTCAATGGTAAATTTTTGGCTCAACTTTCATTTGCACCTTATAAAACTTGTTTAAATACATTATAGGTATGCCGCTTCAAGACCAAACTCTTGTTGTTGAACCATACAATGGATTGCATAGTCAAATGGTGAAAAAAGCAAGGTACGTCTTAAAATATATTTTAAAGAGATTTTGAGGCGTTGTCATATTAACAGTATACCTAATTATGATAATCAATTATGTCCATATCATACTTGAATGATAATTTCCTTTAAACTGTATAATTATATAATTTTTGCAAGTTATTGTTGATTACTTGAACTATTTTGAAAGTTTAATAAATTTTTAATTTTTTTGATAGGTATTGTTGAGCTTAATTAAATAATCTGTATTTAATAAATTATACATGTTTATTTTACTTAATATAAATGATAAAAAATAATATAGTTTTTCAGTATAAAAAATGTGGATTCTTAATATTCTCAGTTAAATATAAATAATTATTTACTAAATATAATTAACTGTTTTCATACATATTAAACATTTTAAAATGCAATACATTAAGTTTAATCTAATTTAAGATTATTAAAAAGAATATAAATCTTAAACAAATTTATTATACTTTGTATTGTTCATCAGTGTCAATTAACTTAATTGATGTACCTTATAAACTAGATTAGATAAAATACTACGTATTGCAAAAACACATATATCAAAGTTCTATTGGGATTGTATCATATCTAAACTTAAAATTTGAAAAATAATGCAATTATGATCTATACAATTTTGCTTTGCTGTCGTTTATGCTTCACATTTACAATTTTGATTTTATGGAAAATATTTTTTATTTCATTTTTGTAGATAAAATACATCATAGTAAGTTATTCAATTTCATGGACTATATATATGTTGTATAATATTTTAATCTTATAATTAATCATTATAAAATCAATCATTATATATATATATATATATGTATAACTAAAATAATATACGAAGGGCTAAATTCAATGATTTACTCATAATATTTATCAAAATAAATTGCTGTATATTATACATTTTTCTTCAAACATTTTCTACTATTTGAATTATAAGTAAATAATGTAAATAATATGAGCATCAAAATTTTAACTTAATATTTATAAACTAAAATTACTGTTAGTAAATTCAAATGTTGTCATCTATATCAGTATTTACTTACCTATGGGTTGCAAAATATTTTTGATGGGTTGCTGTTCTTAAACTAATGACAAGAAAAATATCTTGGTTATTAAAATATAATATTCTTAAAATTTATTAAAGACTTGTATTGGTATTGTTCTATCTGTTGATTTTTCTATTTCTGAACATATAAATTATATTTATAGTAAAGCAATATGTATGATAAGATTTATTAGGTAATGTTGGGACTTCAATGATATCCAATGTTTAAATATTTTATATTGTTAACTAGTGTTTTCAAATCTGGAGTATGTGTCCTTTTTATGGAACCCTTCTCAGATTGGTCCCACAAACCGTTTGAATAATATAAAGTCTATCTTATACATTTTCAATTAAATGATCTACTAAAAAATTTGCTTTGAAGTTAGGTATTCATTCACTTTCATTAAGGTGCAAGTTTAATAATATATCTTTTATTTTTAAAATTCTGAATGGTTGTATTGATTATCTTGAAATCCTTGAAAATATAGGTTAGTTGGTTCCCACATTTTGTACCAAATCCAAAATAACTTTTTATGAGTCAGTCCATAAAAGTCAGCTATATAGTTTTAATGGACCTTTAAGTCGTTTGCTTAGGGTTTGTAATAGTTTTGAACATTTTGACTTTAATTTTGATGATGAGTCTAAACTTCAGCTTTTATATTTGAGTTATGAATTAATAAATTGTTTAATACATTTTATTTTATTTTACACAAAAATACTAATATATCCTGTTGTAGTTAATGTAGACTCTATTGCCCTTTCCTTGGGAGTCAATAAATCAATAAAAAAAAAAAAAAAACAATAATTATGCATATCAGAAATTCTAATTCAGAATTAAGTTTTTACAGTATTACATTAAAGTATCTATATGATATAGGTTGTGAAGTAATGGTGGCAACAATTCTTAGTGAGTAAACATGCCAGAAGAAGAATAGTATCTTATATTGCTTTAGAAATTGTAAACTATTTTTTATTTGTAGTTAAAAAATAGGATATATGATAAATCACTTTTTTTCATGACAATAGTAGCAATGGTTATATCATTTTTTTATTTTCAAGTATAATTTAAAAATGTATCTAGAAAAATTATGTATTTAAAAACTTACAATTTTACCATAAGCATAAATAATACTTTTTTAATTTGTTTATTTATTTATATTTATTAATTCAACGCCTACAATTTAGTTTCAATTACATAAAATAAGATTTAATATCCAGTTAGATATAATTTTTACTTAAATTTATATTTTTGATATGTCGTTTTATTTTAAAGGAATACAAATAATATTCATAAATAAAACAAAGGTACTTCCTTTTTCAATAGTAATTATATTTTTTATTATTTATTTTATAATTAATTAGGAAAAAAATATTCAAGAATTCATTATTTTAAAATAATTAAAAAAAAAAACTTTTCCATGATTTAACCGGTCTTTGTAAATTGCTATACAAACATTTCAAGGTTTTAAAAATTCTATTATTTTTACCAGGATAAGCGCTTACAAATATTGATGGTAAGTCGGTTATAAATAGACAAATTTGCCACTATTTTTATAACAAAATTTGACAGTTCTAATTTTACTTGGTTTGTTAATTATCACCGACTTCATAAATAAGTCATTCATAGGTAGTTGTATTGCACACTAACCGGAATTAGATTAAATTAAAAAAAAAAAACCACAAATATTAAGGATTCGCCTGATTTAAATATAACTAAAAATTTTAATTATAAATTTTGAACCTGAATTAAAGAAAAAATTTGAGTTTTCCCTTAGAAGTAAGTTTTAATACGCCCCTGGTTACAAATGTGTCTATTAAAAATTATAAAATGGGCCGCTAGATTATCAATTCTCCCTGGTCCATTATGTTCTTAGTCTACCTCTGATTACTATACCAAAATACCAAAATACCTAATAGGCACTCGCAATTGAGTTAACTTGCTAATTTCGAGAGTATGGGCATTTTTATGACCATAATTAGAGGGTCCATAAGAAATATGCTTTTTCCCAATTTTGTAATTTTGGGAGTTATTTTAATATACATAATATATTATGTGGGTCTCTCGTGTGACATGTGCTAACCAAGAATATTTAAGTTTTTTGGAAAATTCTTTCTGTTTAATTGTATAGGCTAATTTTAAATGAAAATATCATGTATATATTGAATGGTATAATTTTAGGTGCGTGTACGATATAATATTGCGATTTTATTTACATTTTCTTATCGTTTTTTACGGGATTAACCCTTTGTATAATAATTTATTTACCGAAGCAGTTTTAATTGGAAACATTTTTAATGAAGTTTCTGTGGCCTAAAAATAACCACTTGTAAAGAATATTGTAAAATATTTAATTGTTTTATAAACGTTACTTTTTTTTTGTGGTCTATTTAATAAATTAGCATCCGGCTGCTTTTGTATATTATATATATTTTGCAAAAAAAAAAAAAAAATAAAAAAGAACGTTGACATTATTTTATAAATATGTTTCTAAACGTTAAATGATTTCATCTTGAGGAGTTTCCGTAATCTGTTATTTGTCAGTTTTGAGCATGTTTCGGTGATTTTCTGTTTTAAATTCTGAAGATTATATAAAACAATACCTAAATAATATATTTGGAAATTGTTGGATGAGGACGATTGTCCGATAGCTTGACCTGCATGTTCACTCGATTTAACATTACTTGATATTTTTCATTGGGAACATTTAAAATCTTTAGTTTAAGTTAATCCATCGATCAATTTCTAGCATTTAAACAGAAAGATAACAAATATGCACACAACTGACAAATTATTAGGTAACAGAAGCTGTTCAAGATGAAGTCATACGACGTTTAGAAGCATGTTTACAAAATAATATACAAGATTTCGAGCAATTCATAATATGACAATAAGTATTTTGTGTCATAAATTGTTTAAAATACAAATATATATTTAACTTTAATTGAATTTAAGTAGTCTTTATAATTCTTTCTTCCGTATACCGAGTTTTAAGTCATAAATAATTTTATAATGACAAAATACATAAATTTTTAAAAATTGAGCAAACTTTTTTTTTTTAACTTTCATTAGATGTAAATCAGTAAATTTTTGAGATAGAAAAACTATTTATAAAAAATGATTAAACAAAGCTTGTTTATCGGAATCTGGTGTTAAAAATACCTGTTGCCATTTAAAAAAAATTTGCAATTTCTGTTGAGTATGTGCACACTGAAAGGGGTTAGAAATTTAAAAAATCACCAAATAATTTATACTTCAATGTTCCCTATCCCCTTGAAAACCCCATTTCAGTCCGAGGTAACTAGACAAAAATATTTTATGTAACTATTTAAGTGCAGCATTGTTTACGTGTAGGTAACACAACATTCATAATTTACAACTAATTTATAAATTAAACTTGAGTATAATATGTTTATATTCTTGCGTTATATTATAATATGACTGTTACTTATATTAATATAAACATGAACATGCTGTAATACATTTTCATACCATTTTTATATATTTCTTTTAGCTTTTATGTACCTACCTACATAATTTGTGTGATCGTGCTTGATAAAATCAGCCCACCAAATTTCAGTATAGGTACTTAACCTATCTTATACTATACTACTCTCACTATAAATATTATATTTATAGTGTGCTATTTTTTCCCTCATCCGATTGGATGATGTTTATGATATGATATTTACACGTATTTTTATTGAGAAAACGGTTGTGATTGAAATACATATGAGTATAAACACGTATATATTAGGACATACGTCTTGAAGCGCGCGGGTATCTATTTACTAAATTGCGATATATGTGTATTGGTCATTCAGTTTTTATAAATTATTCCAAATGAAGAAATCTCCCGGGTAAAGTATGAACTCGTCGTCTTACACACTCACACATTAAATTATAATATATATATATATATAATTTTTAATATGCATTACTGTACGCAATACATATACGT